TGATGTTGAAAAACAACTTGTATCATCATCTTTAACCCTAATGTTTATGATTGTAATCTGCCTTGCTCGTTCACCAAAATTGTAAAAATCCATACATGATCTTCCCGTCAACGAGTCTGAATCGTAGAATTTACCCAGATTCAAAGCTAGGGTTCTTTTGTTTATTTCAAGGACACCTTGTGGTGCTCACTCTAACTTTTTTCAACGATCAAAATCGTTTATATTTAGTTCATAATTCATAGATCATCTCTCCAAAAAATTAGGTAAATCCAAATTCACCTTGAAACATGGGTAATTACTTTTAACGACTAGAGCTACAAGTCCGACAACTTATCAACCTTACAAGATTTTATTGCCGGCTTTATTGCAGGGTAATACAATACACACCTCAACAGAGAGACTAATAAATCACTTTTGTGTTTCCAATTATTCAACTTGGAGCTGGAGAGAGGCTTCCATTCTGCTAGCCATGACTTGCAAGCCAGTGCCAATAAACAGGTCCAGATCCTCCAGCCTCCATCCCTCAACTGGTTCAACTTCATACTTCCACACAATCGTACACCCGGCGTCCTTCGGCACCACTTGAACGGTCGAAATGTACGAGTTAAACCCAACATTCCCATCTATGATAGAGTAACTAAATGTCATATTTGCTGGGTCTATACTCAGCAGCTTCTGCTTAGTCCAGTTCACCTTCTCTTGGTCTTGGTTCTGGTCACTTTTAGGATCAACCGGAGTCTTGAACCAGCACAGAACCGCACGCACCCGGCTACCCCCGATGTGCCTTCAACACCGAGGCAAGTTGTGAGAGTTGGGAACCACTTGTGCAGGCCAAAGAAGTCCTCCAAAAGCGGCCAAATTTGCTCTGCTTCGGGGCCTTTTAGCTCTGCAGTTGCCTTGCCTTCCCATTTCGATTGTTTCTCAAGTGCCATTTGGTTTGCAGGACAAGAAAGCTAATAACAAATGGATGCTTTGAAGAATGTTTCTCTCAATAGGCTTTATATAGAGGCTTCATCTGTATAGGAGCTGTTACCCGCACATCACGATGCACCCATTCCTTCTAATAAAAACACATGGAAGAATCACGTGTGAACAATTGTAGAATAACTTTCTTGAAGTGTCAATCACCGCTCTCTATATGCATATAATTTCTAAAATATGAACTTATGGTCATGAGATCTTGGTGAGATAAAGCAGAGTTCAATAAGACGAGTGATACTCTTTTGTCACCAATTCACCATAAGCGTTTATTGGACGGGTGATGCCACTAGAAAAAAAAAAAAAAAAAAAAAAAAAAAGAAGAAGAAGAAAAAAGAGAGAATTTGTCCAATGAGGTGAAGCACTCGTGTACCAGAAATTTGGAGAAGATAAGGACTGCTCAAAAACTTTGATCAGCACCACACGTCAGAGATATTGAGTTAGGTTTCCTCAAATTTATGTGGTGGAATTTGAAGATTCTCCCTCCTTTCCAAGGTATACAAGAAACTAGAAAAGGATGCCAAACATCACTATCAATCCATATTTAACAGCGCTGCAATAATGTTGGGATGCAACTGCAGTTGTATCTCAGGCCAATAATTTCGCTTTTGGCCCTGCAATAATTTGCGTTTGGCTTCCAAAGCAGCACCAGTTGTTCCTTCTTTAAACCCAACTTCCTCATTTACTGTGTTTTCACTGATTTCACTTTGATTGTTAGAACTCAAATTCATTTCCTGATGTCCGGTAATTGCGTGATCACCGCCTGTTCCAGTCACTATGGATTCTACGAGATCATGGCCATCTACTGGCACGCCATTCACATCATCAAAGCCATGGACCACTGTGTCTGCCACTGAATTTTGGCGCTCAAGAGAGTCAGTCTTACTTTCATCACATGAGATGTCCTTGTCGGTGGTACAAGATTCCTCCAATCTCTTTGTCTCCTTAGCTTGGCCCCCTTCCATTTTCTTGCTCCTCGTGCTTATTTTGTGGTATTTGCTCCTTGTCCTCTCCTACTACATCATGATTCACATGTTTCGCACCATCTTGATCAGCGAAAATTGCCTGCGTACCTTCATGCCCCTCTTGGTAATTTTCTTCACGCGAACAAGTCTTGTCGAGCCCCACCAATTCATCATTTCCTTTAACTTTACCATCAGAATTATCATCTGTACTGTTCAATTCTTTTTTCTGATTTTCTGTTTCCTTTTCAACTTCATTCGCTTCGTTTACATTCTGCAACGATTGTTCTTCATTTTTCTCTTCTGCTTTCCATCTTCTTTCTTTACACTTACTTCTCCTACATGTTTCGGATCTTCTGATGCAGACACAGCTCCACCTTTTGACCACCCTGCACTCCCCTTACGCCCTAACCACGTTCTTCACTGGCCTTGTCCTTTGAACTTTCACCATTGTCCTTGCCATGTGACTGCTTCATCTGGCATAGCAACCAGAGGCAAACAGCCAAAATCAATGCAATCTGAATTCCCTGTTTCCTCCTGACAATGTTCATCGATCTACTAACTAAACCAAAGTTAATAAACAGAAAACAGAAAAACCAAAATAACCCTCTGTTTGGTTTCCGAGAAAATACAGGAAAATGGACTAAAGTTTTAATCTTTGAGTCAACTAAGTCCAAATCCAATTCAAGTCCATAACTTTCAGGAAGCTTCCAATATTTCCAAATCAATTCACGTTCTTCTGTTATTATGACTTATCTTGCCTCAGCATTGCACGAATTAAAGGTTACATTCGCATATCCATTCTAACTTTACGGCCTAGAAATCTTTTGATTTACGAAATGATTCTTATTTTATTATTCAATCGTCTGAAATGTGTTTGTATCATATGACAGAGAAGCGAAGAAGCTCTAGTGATGATGGAGAAGGCTACTATGGCGGATAAGAAGAATCCACTTCCAAAGCATCATAAGGCTAGTATACTAATGAGTTACAGAAAAATTTGATGAAGTTTTAGCGGTCTTGGATGGCGTAACATGCATGAGAAAGCAATGCTTCATTTCGGATTTGAAACCATCCGCAACTGATGTCGGTACCATTAAGGTGAGATTTGAGCATATTTCTTAGTCTTTATTACACCCAATAACGATAACTTTCCGTATGTGCTTTGATCGCAACACAAGTGTAGCTTTCAGTTGCATCTTACTCCGAGGCTCGTCTCTTGATTTTCCAACAGGCTGACATTGAGAAGTTACATGTACCTGATGAACTAGACGATCAGTAGATCCATCATGTCGGAAGTCAGCTAAAGAGAACATCGTGCAAGTTATCCGGCTGAACAAGACTCTGCCCGGAGTAGCGGTCTGCTTGTGCTTTCGAAGGCGTATGAATGGCCTAGTTCGTGAGGCTCGCCTGCTCATTTGGGCACCCACATCCGGTACTGTAGAACCTGACCTGTCACATCCCGGTCCGGGGGACCACTTCTCGGGTCCGCTCCACCACCGTAGCACGATATTGTCCGCTTTGGGTCCCGACCACGCCGTCACGGTTTTGTTTCTGAGAACTCACCCAAGAACTTTCCGACGGGTCACCCATCCTGGGAATGCTCACGCGCGCTACTTGCTTAACTTTGGAGTTCCTATGGAACCCGAAGCCAATGAGCTCCCAAAAGGCCTCGTGTTAGGTAGGGATGGGAATATACATATAAGGATCACTCCCCTGGGCGATGTGGGATGTCACAATCCACCCCCCTTAGGGCCCAACGTCCTCGTCGGCACACTCGCGGCCAGGGTTAGGCTCTGATACCAAATTGTCACATCCCGGCCCGGGGGGACCACTTCCCGGGCCTGCTCCACCACCGTAGCACAATATTGTCCGCTTTGGGCCCCGACCACACCCTCACGGTTTTGTTTCTAAGAACTCACCCGAGATAGTTCGTGAGTCTCGCCTGCTCATTTGGGCACCCGCATCCGGTACTGTAGAACCTAACCTGTCACATCCCGGCCCGGGAGGGACCACTTCCCGGGCCCGCTCCACCACCGTAGCACGATATTGTCCGCTTTGGGTCCCGACCACGCCCTCACGATTTTGTTTCTGAGAACTTCCCGACGGGTCACCCATCCTGGGAATGCTCTCCCGCGCTACTTGCTTAACTTCGGAGTTCCTATGGAACCTAAAGCCAGTGAGCTCCTAAATGGCCTCGTGCTAGGTAGGGATGGGAATATACATATAAGGATCACTCCCCTGGGCGATGTGGGATGTCACAATCCACCCCCTTAGGGCCCGACGTCCTCGTCGGCACACTCGCGGCTAGGGTTAGGCTCTGATACCAAATTGTCATATCCTAGCCCGGGGGGAGGGGACCACTTCCCAGGCCCGCTCCACCACCGTAGCATGATATTGTCCGCTTTGGGCCCCGACCACGCCCTCACGGTTTTGTTTCTGAGAACTCACCCGAGAACTTCCCGATGGGTCACCCATCCTGGGAATGCTCTCGCGCGCTACTCGCTTAACTTCGGAGTTCCTATGGAACCCGAAGCCAGTGTGCTCCCAAAAGGCCTCGTGCTAGGTAGGGATGTGAATATACATATAAGGATCACTCCCCTAGGACGATGTGGGATGTCACATGACCGCAGTTTTGTAGGTGATTCACGTACTGGTAGAGAACTAGAGGTGACACAAGTACTAATAAGTAATAGTTGTTGTACTTGTACGGATAGTTGTATCAGGATGTTGAAAAACTACTTGTATCATCGTCTTTAACCCTAATGTTTATGATTGTAATCTGCCTTGCTCTTTCACCAAAATTGTAAAAATCCATACGTGATCTTCCCGTCAACGAGTCTGAATAGTGGAATTTACCCGGATTCAAAACTAGGGTTCTTTTGTTTATTTCAGGGACACCTTGTGGTGTTCACTCTGTAACTTTTTTCAACAATCAAAATTGTTTACATTTTAGTTCATCATTCATAGATCATCTCTTCAAAAAAATTAGGTAAATCCAAATCCACTTGAAACATGGGTAACTACTCTTAACGACTGGAGCTACAAGTCCGACAACTTATCAACCTTACAAGATTTTATTGCCGGTTTTATTGCAGGGTTTTACAATAAACACCTCAACAGAGAGACTAATAAATCACTTTTGTGTTTCCAATTATTCAACTTGGAGCTGGAAAGAGGCTTCCATTCTGCTAGCCATGACTTGCAAGCCAGTGCCAATAAACAGGTCCAGATCCTCCAGCCTCCATCCCCCCACTGGTTCAACTTCATACTTCCACATAATCGTACACCCGGCATCCTTCGGCACCACTTGAACGGTCGAAATGTATGAGTTAAACCCAACATTCCCATCTATGATAGAGTAACTAAATGTCATATTTGCTGGGTCTATACTCAGCAGCTTCTGCTTAGTCCAGTTCACCTTCTCTTGGTCTTGGTTCTGGTCACTTTTAGGATCAACCGGAGTCTTGAACCCAGCACAGAACCGCACGCACCCAGCTACCCCCGATGTGCCTCTAACACCAAGACAAGTTGTGAGAGTTGGGAACCACTTGTGCAGGCCAAAGAAGTCCTCCAAAAGAGGCCAAATTTGCTCTCAATAGGCTAATAACAAATGGATTCTTTGAAGAATGTTTCTCTCAATAGGCTTTATATAGAGGCTTCATCTGTATAGGAGCTGTTACCCGCACATCACGATGCACCCATTCCTTCTAATAAAAACACTTGGAAGAATTACGCGTGAACAATTGTAGAATAACTTTCTTGAAGTGTCAATCACCGCTCCCTATATGCATATAATTTCTAAAATATGAACTTATGGTTGTGAGATCTTGGTGAGATAAAGCAGAGTTCAATAAGATGAGAGATACTTTCTTGTCGCCAATTCACCATAAGCATTTATTGGACAGGTGATGCCACTAGAAAAAAAAAAGAAGAAAAAAGAGAGAATTTGTCCAATGAGATGAAGCACTCGTGTACCAGAAATTTGGAGAAGATGAGGACTGCTCAACAACTTTGATCAGCACCACACGTCAGAGATATTGAGTTAGATTTCCTCAAATTTATGTGGTGGAATTTGAAGATTCTCCCTCCTTTCCGAGGTATACAAGAAACTAGAAAATGATGCCAATATGGACTCACCGAATACTGTGAAATTAAATGGAACTACATTAGCTCCACAGTGCTGCCCAATGAATCTTCTCTGGATATACCTGAGGTAAGTATTGTGGATGATTATGTAACTAACGCGAGTAATGATGTAAATGCATATAAGCTGCCACCGAGACAAAATCGGGGTGTGCCACCTGACAGGTTTTCTCCGGAAGGCAAAGTGAAGTATCCAATAGCCAACTATGTCTCCTGCAATGGTCTTGCACCAGAACGCAAGACCTTGGTGGACAATATGGAGGCTATTCGAGTACCAACCCGTGTGGAGGAGGCTCTAAAGGATCCAAAGTGGGCAAAAGCAATGGATGAAGAAATGTTGGCATTACAGAAGAATAATACTTGGGAGGTGACGTCCTTACCAGCAGGAAAAAAAATAGTTGGATGTCGGTGGGTGTTTACTATCAAATACAAAGCTGATGGATCATTAGACAGGTACGAAGCAAGGTTGGTAGCTAAGGGATACACCCAAACATATGGTGTAGATTATCAAGAAACGTTCTCTCCAGTTGCCAAGATGAATACGGTACGTGTTCTGATATCTTTAGCTGCTAATATGGATTGGCCATTAAAACAGTTTATTGTGAAAAATGATTTCCTCCATGGGAACTTGGAGGAAGAAGTATATATGGATTTTCCTCCTGGATACAGTGCTGGTAGAAATACTGGAGTATGTCGATTGCGTAAGTCTCTTTATGGGCTTAAGCAATCGCCTCATGCATGGTTTGATAGGTTTACTCGAGTTATGAAAAAGATTGGGTATTATCAGAGTCATTTTGATCATACATTGTTTGTTAAACGGAGACATGAAAAAGTGACAGCTTTAATCATCTATGTAGATGGCATGATTATTACTGGAGATGATTTTGATGAGATTTCAAGGTTGGAGAGAAATCTTGCGGCTGAGTTTGAAATGAAGAACCTAGGGGATTTGAAGTATTTTCTTGGAGTCGAAGTTGCTCGATCTTCAAAAGGTATTTTCTTGTCACAACGTAAGTATGTTTTGGATTTGTTAAAAGAAACTGGTATGCTGGGATGTAAGCCAGTAGATACTCCTATTGTTGAAAAACACCATCCATGTTTAGATCCGAATCAGAAATCAGTTGATAAGGGGAGATATCAGAGACTTGTAGGGAGACTAATTTATTTGGCTCATACACGTCCTGATATTGCTTATGCAGTGAGTGTAGTAAGTCAATTTATGCATTCACCGAGTGTAGATCATATGGCTGCTGTTATGCGTATCTTAGCATATTTGAAGTCTGCAACTGGGAAAGGAGTTTTATATCGGAAGCATGGACATTTGAGGGTTGAAGGGTTCACAGATGCTGATTGGGCAGGAAGTGTGGGTGACCGACGGTCTACTTCGGGATATTTTACTTTTGTAGGAGGAAATTTCGTTACATGGAGAAGTAAAAAACAGAAGGTAGTATCAAGATCCTCAGCTGAGGCTGAGTATCGAGGGATGGCTCACGGCATTTGTGAGATTCTCTGGCTTCAAAAACTCCTTGAGGGGCTTGGGTTCAAGCCAAAGGAGACCATGAGACTATACTGTGATAATAAGTCAGCGAGAGATATAGCTGATAATCCGGTACAGCATGATAGGACAAAACATGTGGAAGTTGATCGACATTTTATTAAGGAGAAACTTGAAAGAAAGATTGTGTCAATACCTTTTGTGAATTCGGAGGAGCAACTTGCAGATGTTCTAACTCATGCAGTATGTAGTCGAAAGTTTGATGACTCACTTGTCAAGTTGGCATGTGTGATATCTATGCACCAACTTGAGGGGGAGTGTTAGTCATGAGTCAATATTAGGAAAAAAAGGGAATGTAAATACTAGGAGTCCTTTAGTAGGTTTTTTCACAGTTTTAGGTGAAAAAAAGCCAAAAACAAGAAGCTGCAAAACCTAGCTTTGAAAAACCGGCTTTTTTTCATATCTGTTTTACATAAAAGTTTACCAAACACTCTAATACTGCTTTTTTTTTTCAAAAGCACTTTTACAAAAAAGTTTACCAAACACTCTGCTGCTTTATTTCACAACTGCTTATTCTCACAGCACAGCAGAAACAGCTTTTTTTCAAAGCACAGCAATACCAAACCAGCCCTAAGTAGGTTGTTTATAAGCTTTATTTAATTTCCTAGTTTAACCCTGATTGTACATGTATATATTTCTAAAGAAGCAATACAAAAAAAGATTCCCGTAAAGTTCTATTAACATCACTATCAATCCATATTTAACAGCCCTGCAATAATGTTGGGGTGCACTGTAGTTGTATCTCAGGCCAATCATACATTGTCACATATACATAAATGGCTTGGGATGCTTCCACAATAGCATCTCATTATAGGCAAGTTTTTATCCTCTTAGTGATCCCCAGTAAGTAGTGATTGATAGTAGGCTTCATCTTGATGATGAGATCACTGAATCAGAAGAACAGTAATTGCAGAAGCAAAGGACCAGCTTGAATGGTAATATTAACTGAAACTGAAACTGAAACTTTGTTTCTGCAATAGCACCGAGAAAGTAAACATTTTAGTACGTATATATGACTATGCGACGTCAAACTATCACCTGTTCTCCGATCTAAGGCCAAGAAAATGTCCAACGACTTGTAAGAAAACTCGAAATTAGACTGTGCAATGTCACTCGAGAAGAAATTGCTACTAATTCAACTCACTTTCTACCTCTAGTTTCTTCTGCTTGTGCAGATACTTGTAATGTTAATGACATTTTGTTTCGGCTATGAATCTGAAACGGAACTGCCTCCCTGTGTAGCCTCTTCAACGGTATCAATCCTTGAGATGTCTGAACTTGTTTCCACCTTCGCTTTAATGTCAATGTTCGGGTCTTGTACAGAAATTTTGCTTTTGGCTTCCAAATCAGCACCAGTTGTTCCTTCTTTAGACCCAACTTCTTCATTTACCATGTTTTCGCTGATTGCACTTTGATTGTTAGAACTCGAATTCATTTCCTGATGTCCGGTAATTGCGTGATCACCGCCTGTTCCAGTCACTATGGATTCTACGAGATCATGGCCATCTACTGGCACGCCATTCACATCGTCAAAGCCATGGACCAATGTGTCTGCCACTGAATTTTGGCCCTCAAGAGAGTCATTCTTACTTTCATCACATGAAATGTCCTTGTCAGTGGTACTAGATTCCTCCGATCTCTGTCTCCTTAGCTTGGCCCCCTTCCATTTTCTTGCTGGTCGTGCTTATTTTGTGGTATTTGCTCCTTGTCCTCTCCCACTTCATCATGATTCACATGTTTCGCACCATCTTGATCAGCGAAAATTGCCTGCGTACACCTTCATGCCCCTCTTGGTAATTTTCTTCATGCGAACAAGTCTTGTCGAGCCCTACCAATTCATCATTTCCTTTAACTTTACCATCAGAATTATCATCTGTAGATTCTGTACTGTTCAATTCTTTTTTCTGATTTTCTGTTTCCTTTTCAACTTCATTCGCTTCGTTTACATTCTGCAACGATTGTTCTTCATTTTTCTCTTCTGCATTTCCATCTTCTTTCTTTACACTTACTTCTCCTACATGTTTCAGATCTTCTGATGCAGACACAGCTCCACCTTTTGACCACCCTGCCCTCCCCTTACGCCCTAACCACGTTCTTCACTGGCCTTGTCCTTTGAACTTTCACCGTTGTCCTTGCCATGTGACTGCTTCATCTGGCATAGCAACCAGAAGCAAACAGCCAAAATCAATGCAATCTGAATTGCCTGTTTCCTCCTGACAATGTTCATCGATCTACTAACTAAACCAAAGTTAATAAACAGAAAACAGAAAAACCAAAATAACCCTCTGTTTGGTTTCCGAGAAAATACAGGAAAATGGACTAAAGTTTTAATCTTTGAGTCAACTAAGTCCAAATCCAATTAAAGTCCATAACTTTCAGGAAGCTTCCAATATTTCCAAATCAATTCACGTTCTTCTGTTATTATGACTTATCTTGCCTCAGCATTGCACGAATTAAAGGTTACATTCGCATATCCGTTCTAACTTTACGGCCTAGAAATCTTTTGATTTACGAAATGATTCTTATTTTATTATTCAATCGTCTGAAATGTGTTTGTATCATATGACAGAGAAGCGAAGAAGCTCTAGTGATGATGGAGAAGGCTACTATGGCGGATAAGAAGAATCCACTTCCAAGTTCCAATGCATCATAAGGCTAGTATACTAATGAGTTACAGAAAAATTGATGCAGTTTTAGCGGTCTTGGATGGCGTAACATGCATGAGAAAGCAGTGCTTCATTTCGGATTTGAAATCATCCGCAACTGATGTCGCTACCATTAAGGTGAGATTTGAGCATATTTCTTAGTCTTTATTGACACCCAATAACGATAACTTTCCGTATGTGCTTTGATCGCAACACAGTGTAGCTTTCAGTTGCATCTTACTCCGAGGCTCGTCTCTTGATTTTCTAACAGGCTGACATTGAGAAGTTACATGTACCTGATGAACTAGACGATGAGTAGATCCATCATGTCGGAAGTCAGTTAAAGAGAACATCGTGCAAGTTATCCGGCTGAACAAGACTCTGCCCGGATTAGCGGTCTGCTTGTGCTTTCGAAGGCGTATGAATGGCCTAGTTCGTGAGGCTCGCCTGCTCATTCGGGCATCCGCATCCGGTCTGCATACTGTAGAACCTGACCTCAGTTTTGTAGGTGATTCACGTACTGGTAGAGAACTAGAGGTGACACAAGTACTGATAAGTGATAAGTAATAGCTGCTGCACTTGTACGGATAGTTGTATCAGGATGTTGAAAAACTACTTGTATCATCGTCTTTAACCCTAACATTTATGATTGTAATCTGCCTTGCTCTTTCATCAAGTCTGAATCGTGGAATTTACCCGGATTCAAAACTAGGGTTCTTTTGTTTATTTCAGGGACACCTTGTGGTGTTCACTCTGTAACTTTTTTCAACGAGTCTGAAGTGTCAACCACCGCTCTCTATATGCATATAATTGCTAAAATATGAGCTTATGGTCATGAGATCTTGGTGAGATAAAGGAGAGTTTAATAAGACGAGAGATACTTGTTTGTCATTAATTTACCACGTAACAAACGTTTATTAGACGGATGATGCCATTAGGAAAAAAAAAAGTAAAAAAAAGAGACAGAGCGAGAGAATTTGTCCAATAGACAAAGCACTCGTGTACCATGAATTTGGAGAAGATAAGGACAGCTCAACGCCCAACAACTTTGATCAGCACCACACGTCAGAGATATTGAGTTAGATTTCCTCAAATTTATGTGATAGAATTTGAAGATTCTCCCTCCTTTCCGAGATATACAAGAAACTAGGAAAGGATACAAAACATCACTATCAATCCATATTTAACAGCCCTGCAATAATATTGGGATGCAACTGCGGTTGTATCTCATGCCAATCATACATTGTCACCATACGTAAATGACTTGAAATGCCACCATAATAGCATCTCGTTATAGGCAAGTTCTTATCCTCAAACCGAAACTGAAACCGAAACTTTATTTCTGTAATAGCACCGAGAAAGTAAACATTCTAGTAAGTATGTATGACTATTCGACATCAAATTATCACCTGTTCTCGGATCTAAGGCCAAGAAAACGTCCAACGACTTGTAAGAAAACTCGAAATTAGACTGTACAATGTCACTCAAGAAGAAATGCTACTAATTCAACTCACTTTCTACCTCTAGTTTCTTCTGCTTTTGCAGATACTTGTAATGTTAATGACATTTTGTTTCTTCCATGAATCTGAAAAGGAACTGCCTCCCTGTGTAGTCTCTTAAACGCTATCGATCCTCGAGGTGTCTGAACTTGTTTCCACCTTCGATTTAATGTCAATGTTCGAGCCTCGTACTGAGATATTGCTTTTGGCTTCCAAATCAGCACCAATTGTTCCTTCTTTAGACCCAACTTCTTCATTTACTGCGTTTTTGCTGATTTCACTTTGATTGTTAGAACTCAAATTCATTTCCTGATGTCCGGTAATTGCTTGATCACCGCCTGTTCCAGTCACTATGGATTCTATGAGATCATGGCCATCTACTGGCACGCCATTCACATCATCAAAGCCATGGACCACTCCGTCTACCACTGAATTTTGGCCCTCAAGAGAGTCATTCTTACTTTCACCGCGTCGTACTGAAATGTCCTCGTATGTAGTACTCTTTGGCTCCTTGTCAGTGGTACTAGATTCCTCCAATCTCTTTGGCTCCTTAGCTTGTCCCTTTCCATTTTCTTGTTCCTCGTGCTTATCTTGTGGTATTTGCTCCTTGTGCTCTCCTACTTCATCATGATTCACATGTTTCGCACCATCTTGATCAGCGAAAACTGCCTGCGTACCTTCATGCCCCTCTTGGTAATTTTCTTCATGCGCAGAACTCTTGTCGAGCCCCACCGATTCATCATTTCCTTTAACTTCACCTTCAGAATTATCATCTTTATTGTTCATTTCTTTTTTCTGAATTTCTGTTTCCTTTTCAACCTGATTCGCTTCATTTAAATTCTGCAAAGATTCTTCTTCATTTTTCTCTTCAACATTTCCATCTTCTTTCTTTACACTTACTTCTCCTACATGTTTTGGATCTTTTGATGCAGACACAGCTCCAACTTTTGACCACCCTGCACTCCCCTTACGCCCTAAAATATCAGAACCGCGTTCTTCGCTAGCCTTGTCCTTTGAACTTTCACTATAGTCCTTGCCATGTGACTGCTTCATCTGGTAGAGCAACCAGAAGCAAACAGCCAAAATCAATGCAATCTGAATTGCCTGTTTCACCTTCAACCCTTTGGCGGGTCTCTGGTTGCGCCCGGTAGACTGGTTATTCATCAAAACTCTGTACAACTGCTCAAAAGACAAGCTCCTTATCAATTCCCGATTAATCATCACAACAACAAGTAAGTCAAGGTTTCATTTATGAAAGATCCCCCAAAAAAAATTACCAAAACCAGCAATTAGGGTTTTGCTATCAGCATCAAAAAAGGAAAAATCCCAAATTATTATCACCAATTAGGGTTTTGCAAATTTCCAATCAGAGAACTCCCCTCCCCATCAAATTCAGACCTTAATATCTTTCTTAATTAAATTTCATCCTGACAATGTTCAACGATCTACTAACTAAACCAAAGTTTATGAACAGAAACAGAAAAACCAGATAACCCTCTGTTTGGTTTCCGAGGAAATGCAGGAAAATGAACTAAAGTTTGAATCTTTGAGTCAACTAAGTCCAAATCCAAGTCAAGTCCATAACCTTCAGGAAGCTTCCAAAATTTCTGGTAAACAAAAACATCGAACTGAAAAATTCAAAACTTGGATTTCTTTCTTTTCCACTGAATTTCAACATCAATAAATTCACAACAGCGATCAGAAAGTTCAATTACTTGAGCAATAAACATACAGATTATTCAGAAATTTAGACATAAAAAAAAAAATCACAGAAAAATATAAAGATTTAAATTATTTAATGTGTTAAAATCTTACCTTCTAATCAGGAATGGAAATTCAAGAATCTGACTGCGAGTGTAATTTTCTTCTTCTTCTTGTTCTTCTTCTTGTGATTTATTTCAAAGTTTGTCCTTCTGGGGAGGAAGAAATGATCTAAAAAATACGAAATAGCGGTTACTTTTTTTGTGAATCCGAAAATGCCCTTCCTGACCGGCAGACAAGAAGCTTTCACAATCGTGGTTTTTTCGCAAATATGTTGGAGTATTAGGGTTTTTTGGGCACGGAAGAAGAATGAGGGGTGCTTTCTTCAATGTTGTGCTTTCCTTGCCGCCTTCTGAAACGACTAACCTTTTTCCTCCGCCGGTTACGGAAATAAAAGACGGCGATTTGGGCAAATGGCTCGTCGACACGTCTACACTCTGCTTTTTTACTCTCACCAGCATGGGAAGAGATCCCCTCCGGATATTACCCTCATAAAATCCCTGGGATCAGGAGATCCAGATCCTTAAAATTTGATCAAACGGTTACAATTATTATAATTTTTAGAGGAGCTTTCTGTTTGTAGTAATTTGATCAAATTTCAAGGGTCCGATCTCCGGATCCCTAGAATTTGGTGAGAGAGATCCGGAGGGGATCTCTTCCCCACCAGAATCATCATTTTTCAATGTGATAGAGAATGACTCAATATATAAAGTATCATAATACAAGTAGTTAGATACTCGAAAAAAATAATTAAAACTACTTGTAGTATGCTACTTAGCACACTAAAAATTTCTCATTACTAATAGAAATGTGGCCTAAGGTTTAGTGTGTATTGTTATGTTTCTGAGCTTCAAAGAAGGATTTAAACATTTTGGATTTCTGGTAATAGTTGTAGAGAGAATATAGAAGATTATGATGTGTATATTGCATTGTTCTTTCATACAGAGGAGAATTCTCTACCCTCCTAATCTCTCTACCTTTCTATACCCTTCTATTTGAACGGTCACTGTTAAGCCATGTCAACATCTTATATTGATTTTTTTATAAAGATAATAAGACAAAAAGCAATGTGTGTGAGGAGAGGATGGAAGGAGATGAGAATAGAATAGTAGAAAATCCTCTTCCCCTTCATACAAGAAGTGTGATATTACCGTTAGAGGAGAGAGGAAAGGAGATATTTCTCTCTTTTACATCAAAACAAATCTTAGCCATCTATTTTAGTCACCCTATAAGATGTTTACATTTGTTATAATATATCACTTAAAAGAAAGGTTAGCTAGAGAGGCCGCTTGAACTATGATCCAACAACTTAGAGAGGCTGCTTGAACTATGATCCAACAACTTCCATACATCTCAAGAAAAACATTATAAAATGAAATTCAAACATTTCTTTTAACACAAGAAATCAGCTCGAGGGTTATACACAAACATAAGGCCTTTCATCAGTTGTGAGTTTTTCTTTAGCTCAAAACCCACGGATGAGCCACAAAACTCCATCTCATTGGAGTACAAGAGTGTGGCCGATCAATTTCGGCCACACTTTGCACAAGACTGTAGAGAGAGAGTGTGTGTGTGTGTGAGTGTGTGGTATAGATAACTACAATTGTGGACCTTTGACATGTACTAAATATATAAATTTTTTGAGTGTGGTGTTGCGTCCTACAAGGCTATATACTGCTACTGTTTCCAGAAGTCTCGAAGATAAGGCTTGGCTCTGTAAATTAATGGCGGAGGTGGACGTTTCTCTAGGCCGCCAAACACCACCAAGGCATAAGCCACATGGCAGCTCTTAAGGCCATTACATGCAACAGAGCCCACCATGAATATAACTAGTTGTTACTCGAAGCTCTCGTAGAGCTGGAAAATCGTATGGAACAGGTCGATAGAAAAGTCCCAAGAGCAGATGTTGAGTTGAAGCCACCATCAAATTAATCATTATCATGAATCTAAAAATCTCACTTCACATAGAGAAATCGGTTAAGGTTATTTGAACAAGTGAACGAATACCTATGATTTCTCTGGTTAAAAGATGCGGCTATAAGATGAAGGCTCATGGTAAAAAGAGTAGAGAAAGATGTTGGAAGACACAGAAAGAAATTTTAAGAAAAAACAGTGTACTTGCTAATGGAAAACTTAGCCAAAACGTACATACTGGTGTTCTAAAATTTATACCGCCAATCTCACAAAGGTTTTTTTAGTCAAAATGGTCTCTGAGATTAGCATAACACATCACTTTAGTCCCTGAGATTGAAAATCAATAGAAATGATCTCTGAGATTGTCCACCATCCATTATTTTGGTCATTCTATTAACGGAATGACCAAGAGAGCCATTTTCAAGCCGTTTTCCAGCCAAAACACTGCTATTTAGCTGTTGAGAAAGGTACCATTCTATTCATCTCATCGAAAAATATGATTTTCGTTTTTGAATCACTCGAATTAGTTGAGTATTGAAGAAGTTATGAACGTTTAAAGTTCACCCAGTTTCCGGCAAGTTTTCCAGTTTTCGCGCGGACCAATCACCCTTCATGCTATTTTCTGGCCATCTTCGGCAACCATTGAGCTTCCAAATAGGTATAATCTTGTTCTACACTTTCCTATTTTTATTTTGATATATTATGGGTCGAATTTGGTTAAGAAACAATTGAGTTACAAAGCTTTGAAAATTGACCAAACTTTTGGCCAACAGTTTGGGGACACTCAACGGAGTTTTTAACGGAATGACCAAAATAATGGATGGTGGACAATCTCAAAAACCATTTCTATTGATTTTCAATTTCAGGGATTTCGAGACACTTAACGGAATTTTTAACGGAATGACCAAAATAATGGATGGTGGACAATCTCAGAGACCATTTCTATTGATTTTCAATTTCTGAGAGTAAAGTAATATGTTATGCAAATCTCAAAGATCATTTTGACTAAAAAGCCCCTCACAAAATTAGGTACCCTCTAAAGCTAAAAGCAATTCAAACCAATCCCAATTTGTAAAGTCCTGAATGAAGGAGAGATTTTTCAATGTGATCAGCACACAAGGTGGTATACCACGTGTCATTATACAAATGGTGAGATATAAAGTTAATAACTTAAATAATAAAATTTTTCACAATTTACATAAAAATAAGTAGTGTATCACTTGTATTCTCGTAATAACCAAAAATTTTTCCACATGAAGTGCCTCGTTTGAATAAAATACGCACTATGTTCTGCATTTCCAGGCCCACTCGAAGGAAAGACAAAAAGTAGCCTAAATGATTTATAAAAAGAAGCGAAAAAACATGCAGTGCCCTACTGATGTTGATGGGTTTTGTAAATCAATTGTAAAAGCATAATGGATCCCAGCAAATTGAAACCAATTTAATGTGATTAACTTAAGCTTAATTAAGAAGTTTGAGCTAAATAATTAACTTAAATTAATATTTCTGTCACCTTTATTTTTATCTTCCCGGAATGGTTGCAAGCGTTACAAAAGCAAAATGAAAAACATACTTCTTCAATTACGCTTTACGAAAAGAGTAATGTGAGAGAGCTTAATTTGTAGATAAAATTCTGTAAAATCAATAATATGAAAGCTAATAATTGAATTATAACTTAAACGTTGATAAACGTGCTTATTTCTATTGATGACATATTATTTATATTGTAAATTTTACCTACAAATTTAGTTTTTCTTGCTTTACCCTATATACATTCGGAGACTCAGAGTTTTAATTACTATTAAGATTTTGACTTTTTTTTTACCAAAAGAAGGAAATAACTTTATCTTCTATTGTTTGTTGCATACCATACACTAAAAAAATAATAAAATTTTCACAAATATATACCATCAAAAGTAAATGAAAATGTATGTTTCGTAAAGTACATTATCCTTCAAACAATTAAAATATAAAAAAATTAATGGAAACTTAATTATGCAAGTTACATCCATGACAATTTCCACTAAAATTATATAGGGCAAAAAGGAAATTTCAAACTTGAAAATTCACCAAAATCGTGCAAAATATATTAAAGAGAGGGCAAATAGTTTGATAAAAAGGCATACCCCATGAATATGATATTGACCCCAAAACCCCACCAAAAAATATCAGAACAAAATACCGCATACATGAGCATGATGATCATAAGACAAAAATTCTAAATGAGTGTCTAGCATTCCGGATGTTTTAATTGTTAATTTTTTTATATTTTTAAATAAAAATCTAACAATTACAACATTTAAAATATCAACTGCTCCAAAACATCAAAGAAAAATATTAATCATAAAGTTATTTCCAATCAAAACGACTAAATATATAGCCCTTCTGATCAAATTAGACAACCTCTAGGCAATAGTAATGGTAGTTGACAGATGGCATCAGGTCTCCCAAGCTTAAGATTCCTTCGTGGCTACGGCTCATTGGTGTGATTTAAAGAAAAAAAAGGGTTTTGAATAGCATTTATGTTCGTGGGTCGTGGCCCAATCAGAAAAAAAAATTCACTGAATACCCTAAAAAGAAGATTAAATTTTCATTTAAATCCTTTTCCAGAGTCATATGCAGCCTTTTCTTCCTACTTTTTTATTTTGTTAAGCTGAGTGGGAGTAAGAATGTGGATCAATCACCACCACAAATCACAATTGATTATGGATTATAGTTCTAGAAGTTGAATTTACATCCTCTCTAGATCTACGCGTTTGGAGTCAACAAATCTAAAAATTTGGACCATTTATTTAAAAATTTTGGTCTTTATTTCAGTAATTCATTTCACACAAATCTAGAATTCAATTTCTCTTTTTCTCTCTTCAACGGTCTAGATTTTTAAGTATTTCGACTCCAGACACAGAGATCCAAAGAGAATCTCGACTCCTTAAAGCTAACTATTCATATTCTTTTTTTTTTTTATGCAAGCGATAATGAAGGAAGAAAAAAATTGAAACTCGAGAGCATAAATTAATACATGAATATTCAATTGTGCTACAAACTGATGCATCGATATATCAATTTGAATCCATATTAATGAGTCACGTGCCTTCCATTTGCATGCATATGTAGAATTCGGCTCGGACCAATCATTTTCACAAATACAAATTTCTGAAAGAGAGAAATTGTATGATGTTTATAGCTTTCAACCAATTGTAAAGGATGTTTATAGCTTTCACTTCAAAGAACTTGGAAAAGTACACATGCCCAAATTGCATCCTAATTAGATAGGTATATGACTTAGTCACTAAACATAATTAACTTGCACACATGTTTAATCTGCATTAAAATGATAAGGGTTAATCTTAAAGATTCAACATATTCTCATGTGTTATACATGCAATTGATTCATATCGTTAATGAGTATGAGTTAATATCGTTAATGAGGATGAGTCAATCACACAATAATTCTCTTACACATATAGTTTAATAGTCCTTACAAC